CTTTCTCAAGGTTACACGGTCAGTAAGTGGTAGAACCAAGTTTGGATCCCAGGTTTTCTGATCCTAAAGCCTGTGCTTTCTTTTTTTTTTTTTTTTAAAGATTTTATTTCTTTATTTGAGAGAAAGACACAGCGAGAGAGGGAACACAAGCAAGGGGAGTGGGAGAGGGAGAAGCAGGCTTCCCGGGGAGCAGGGAGCCCGATGCGGGGTTCGATCCCAGGACCCTGGGACCATGACCTGAGCTGAAGGCAGACGCTTAACCGACTGAGCCACCCAGGCGCCCCAAGCCTGTGCTTTCAATCACTAGCCTGTAATGGTATAGGCTGAACTATCAAATGCCACAGGAACCTATGAGAAGTGCAGGTCCAGCTCTGTAAGATCAAAAGAGGTACAGAAAGACGCAAACCCTTCTTTTTTTTTTATGTATATATATATTTTTAAATTTTTTTTATTCTTATGTTAATCCCCATACATTATATCATTAGTTTTAGATGTAGTGTTCCATGATCATTGTTTGTGCATTACACCCAGTGCTCCATGCAGAATGTGCCCTCCTCAATACCCATTACCAGGCTAACCCATCCTCCCACCTCCCTCCCCTCTAGAACCCTCAGTTTGTTTTTCAGAGTCCATCGTCTCTCATGGTTCGTCTACCCCTCCGATTTCCCCCGCTTCATTCTTCCCCTCCTGCTACCTTCTTCTTCTTTTTTTTTTCCTTAACATATATTGCATTATTTGTTTCAGAGGTACAGATCTGTGATTCAACAGTCTTGCACAATTCACAGCGCTCACCATAGCACACACCCTCCCCAGTGTCTATCATGCAGTCACCCCATCCCTCCCACCCCACCCCCCACTCCAGCAACCCTCAGTTTGTTTCCTGAGATTAAGAATTCCTCATATCAGTGAGGTCATATGATACATGTCTTTCTCTGTTTGACTTATTTCGCTCAGCATAATACCCTCCAGTTCCATCCATGTCATTGCAAATGGCAAGATCTCATTCCTTTTGATGGCTGCATAATATTCCATTGTATATATATATATACCACATCTTCTTTATCCATTCATCTGTCGATGGACATCTTTGGCTCTTTCCACAGTTTGGCTATTGTGGACATTGCTGCTATAAACATCGGGGTGCACGTACCCTTTCGGATCCCTACTTTTGTATCTTTGGGGTAAATACCCAGTAGAGACGCAAACCTTTCTATCGCAGGGCATCTCTCCTAGCTCTGGATTCCCCTACAGGTAGACTAAGATGCACTTAAGGCAGCAATAAATGTATTATATTTCCATCTTTGAAATAAAACTAGAACTTTGTTGGACTTTCTTATATTTATTTTACACTTCAGAATGAGTGATCAGTTGATTGATTGATTTATCCATCACATGAGCCACATTGGCCTTTTTGTTGTCCTTTGAACATGCTAAGTATGTTCCTGCCTTTCAAAGTCTTTGTTGTTTCTATTTTGCTAGTGTTTGGGGCTTTGAAACATCTTAATCTGGTTCTTGGATCTGATCAGGGCTAAGGCCACATGTTATGGGGTGGATGTCATTCTTTTAACCCACTGTATCAGTGATCATGTTCTGAAACTTGAGCTGACACTTGCCATTTCAACAGATATTTATTGAGGACCTTCTATGGGCTAGGCCTGTGTTAGGTGCTGGGCATGCAAAGATGAGTAAGACGTGTGTTCTGCCCAAGAGAATCTCACAGTGTACCTGAAGTTTGTGTATATGTGCGTGGGAAAGGGGAGATGGAGATAAAAGGTGGTTTTATAGAGAAGGTAGCATATGAACGAGGCCATGAATGGACTTGGATAGGTACAGATGGCAGGGATCGAAGGACTTGCTTTGCACATATGATCTAACTAATTGGTGGCACCAGATTCAACTTTTTAGTATCATTAATAGGAATGGGGGAATTACATTTTGTAGAATTGAATACTCCACACACCTGGAGTCCCACTTGGCCACAGCCATTGCAGGAAGGTTTTGTTGGAGGCATCTAAGTCTCCTGGTCCTCTCTCTGTTTCTGCTGGTCACCACAAAAGGGAAGTCCTACATCCCATCCCTGGGTACAATTTTCCTTCGGAAAGTTTCACTGAAAGAATGAAAGCCACTAGTTTAAGACCCAGAAGAAACTGCTGAAATGTCAGGTTCTTGCTTCATATAAAGATGATCATTTTCCCATCTGTTCTGTTCTTTCTTTATCTAATAATGCTATTTGAAAAGGAATCACAACATTAAGTACTTCTCTGCATGGCTTTTGTAGAAGTCCGTAGGTAGGAGCCAAATTGTAAGAGAAAAGCACAATCGTCTATGTATCAGACCAAAGCAAAACAAAACAAAAAGCCACGACGGAAGCCTTTGCCTGTTGCCATCATGTGGCACTGTGACCAGTTTGCAGGAAACATAACAGCAGAATGGGAGGAGAGGGCGCAACCATGTCTTGAGGGTTAATGGCTTCCATCCAGAATTATGAAATGATGGCAAACATCTCAGGAAGGGCAGTCATGACCAATGCCTCCCAAGCACGCACCCCTAATCCCCCCAAGCTACAAACAAATCCAAGCAGCTACCCAGAAGACACGTCCTGCCTGTTGCTCTGTTCCCTTCCAGGGAGGTGCTCCATGTGGCTCTTGTCTTCCTCCGGGTCATCAGTGCCTGTGCAGATGGCAAGATCCGCATTTACAATTTCCTCAATGGGAACTGTCTGAAGGTGATGAAAGCCAACGGCAGAGGTGATCCTGTGCTGTCCTTCTTTACTCAGGGCAACAGGTGGGTGGTAGGTGTGGAGGTCAGGGCCGTGGGCTCTTCGGTTTGGCTGGTTTTCTTCTCCTCTGGGATACCAGCCCTGCATTTGCTGGCAGCAGGAGAGAGGGGGCAGTGGTCCCCTCCAATTTTGGCTGTAGAAGCGTCAATAATCATATGGCAGGGGGGCGGATCGGACTTTGCACAAAACTTAGCAAGCAGGGCTCACGTCACTCTGAATTTGTTCTGGATGTCTGGGCAAATCAGGCAGAGAGTACAGTATGGCTCTGCTCTAAATGTGCAGCCCCTGTTTGCTCCCTGTTGCTCACTTCTGACACAAGGAGACTTACAGGAGGGGAGTGGGATGGTAGTAGCCGGGGGTCCAGGGTCTGGTGGGGCAGAGCTGAGCCAGGTGAGTTTACAGAAACCAGAACCGAGACCATTTGTATGTAGTATTGTATTTGTCATAGGCTAGGTTCAGGGCGTTATGATGTGAAAATACCCAAAGAGAATTAACGTTTGCACAGGCTCACTTGAGATATCAGTGAATCTTCCCCAACCATATTGCCTTCCTTTTAATGGAACTATACTAGGGCTATTTCCCATCTTAAAGGGGCAGGACTGGTTAAGAAGTCTCAACAAAGGGACGCCTTTTCACTTTCAAAGTACTAATGCCATTAAAAAAAAAAAATCACCTCTGACCTTTTCTTTTTTATGACATCCAAAGAGAGACAGTTTCCTTTGGGCCTGAGTAAAAATGAGTCTGAAAGGGATTCCTGATCGGAATGAATCCCCCAATTCCATTCTAGCATTTCTAACCAAAACCAGTCACTCTTACGAGGATTTACGCTAACAGTTAAGGCCTTAAAATTCAGCCTTTTGGAGCAGAAAGGAACCTTCACATGGTATTTCCATGGCTCGTTTATGGTTCTGGGAGATCTAGGCACAGATTAGGGTGGATAAGGTGCTCTGTGGACGTTGTGAATGACAGAAACCAGTCGGTGGTTGGGGTTCCCTGCTGGGGGGCCCAGGTTTGGAACTCTTTCTACCAAGGCCTAAAGTGTGGATTAGGAAGGATGGAAATCATCCCGCTTTATAAAGTACAGCTGTTTTGTTTAAATGCAGAGCATGCACAGAGATCCTGGAAGGATAGAGGGATGGAGGGTGGGCTGGAGAGTCAGTGAGGGAGCAGAGTCCTCCCCATTACAGAGTTCTCCTTATCCCCAGCACAGCAATAAAACATGGCATTTGGATACCGTGCTTTGAAAAAAAAAAAAAGTGAATTTCAAGACATCAGTGTGCAGAGTACCTAACCTTTCTGCTTTGGGCACCCTAGGGACGTGACACTCAACTCTATGAACAGAAATTCATTTAAAAATATTTTACCTTGAAAGGTGAGGGAATCAGAATGTATGTGCCCTGCTTACAGTTAATTTTCAAGAGCACCCCTCCCTGTTGCCTGCCTGTGACCATTCAGCGCTCCAGACCCTCCAACAACCTCCAACACCCTCTTTGTACAGTCGTGTCCCGGGCACTGTTCCCTCAGGCTTATGGTTGGATGGGACAGTATTTGAAATGCATATTTGGAGGCCAGGCCGCAGTGGCCTTCTTGCCTTTTGTGGGCCATCTTGTTGTTTTGGTTCCAGGATGGTGATCAACACGGAGAGCAATATTCTCATGTTCCAGTTTGAGAATATAAAGTGGCAGTACTCCCTGGACCAGGCCAAACAAAAGAAGAAGGATAAAGAGGAGGACAGGGAAGAAAATGGCCTCACCGAAATCCCCTCCAGGTCTAGCATTCAGGCTTTCAGCGTGAGGGACTCGATGTCCAGTAAACAAACTGTGGCCCAGGAGTCCCTGTTAAGTAAACCATACAGGTCCCGAGTTTTCCTGAGGGCCACCAGGGTACCTACAGGTAAGAGAGCTGAATCCCAGGCCACCTCGGTGGTTCCTGATGGAGCAGGAATGGGTGCAGTTGGTGGTGGTGGCAGGACTACTTTCTCTGTAGGATATTTTAGCCAATGATTTCTTGATGATGTAAATCCTAACCATTAAGGAAGGTGGGATACCATTCTCCAGCTCAAGAGAATCTCCTGATTTTCAAGGCCTGCGTTTACCGAACATACCAGAATCTTTGTACAGTAGATAACACTGGCCTTTACCACTTGCCATTCAAACCAAAACCCACCAACACTCTCCATCCCCATCCAAACATATAGGACATAATTATTTCCTTAGAACAGAGACAGGATATTACTATTCCACAGAAAAATGTTCTAGGCAGAAGGTATTATCTCTAAGTGCTGATTGATAACATGCATACCCAGAAAATATTAGTATGAAGCAGAAATGTGGGTGTGGGTGTGTGGCATATGGAATGCCATTTTAAGACACACAAAGAATAAGTTAGGCGTGGGCTGGAGTAGCCAGACTCCTTCCTTTCGCTTCTCCCATGTTTGGCATGTGAAACTGGATCCACAGGTCTATGGAGAACATCAAGAGGTCACATCCAGGTATGTTACATGGACAAATGATCAGAGAGACCAACAGGTGTAGATAAATGATCAGTTCTCTCTGGAGGAGAGAGACCAACGGGTGTGGATAATGCCTAAAGCTTGACAGTCAGTTGAAAAAGTGGGTGAGAGGAAAGGCAGGAGGTGGTGTAGACCTTAGGCTCCAGATCACTTACCTGGTGTCATACGACAACAAACAGAAAGGTGATAGTTTGGGTGCAAATAAGCCAGATTACCAGCTATGCCCCCATTATTTAGACCTTGTTGAATTATGTCATTACTAAGATTTCCTTCTCAATCTTCATTTAGAAGTGTTCTTAGAGGGACCTCCAAGTCAAGGAAAGTCAAAAGCACCCCGAAGAGATGGCAAGAAGAGAGCAAGTCCTGTTTTTAAGGAAGCAAGCAGCATAGATGGTGGGCAACAGAGTTTGGAAGCAAAATCCCTCGCAGGAGATCCAACAAACGGTGATATTTTATTCCAGATCAGGGGCAAGATCCTCTCTCTCTCTTCTCCCCCCTCTCTCTGTTGCTCGCTCACTGTGTTCCATCTAGTTTTTCAGCAAGTCAATGACTGCTTATCTTTGAGAATTCAGAAAGGATAACATGTCTGACTTTTCTTAAGGGTGATTGGTTTTCCTTAATTGTCCCCTTACTAACTTGAGGCCACAGCACAAACAACCTTTGTAAGAGCGGTGTTTCCAGTTTTGGGCTCACAGCCTGCCTCCCATGTCTGCCACTCAGACTTCTCACTTCTTGGACTGGTGTGTCATCATGAATAGGATGTCCCGTTGTTGTTTTTGAGGGAGATTTTGGTAAAGATTTAAAATGCCTTTCAAATATTTTTGGCTAATATAATAGTGGTTCTTTGAATCAAACTCCCTGTAGAGACCAGCTTCAAGGTGACGGTAAAACAGTTAAGTTTCAGGAGGGCTATACTAACAATGAGCATCCTTGAATATGCCTATGATTAGGTACCTGTATAAGTATACCTTAGGGTAAAGTCTTAGGAGTGGCATTGCTGAGCCAAAGGATAACTGCCTTTAAAAATTGGAAGGATATTGGGGAGCCTGGATGGCTCAGCTGGTTAAGTGTCTGACTCTTGATTTCAGCTCAGGTCATGATCTCAGGGTCATGAGATCAAGCCCCACATCAGGCTCTGCACTCAGCGGGCAATCCACTTCTCTCTCTTCCTCCCTCTCCCCCTGCTCATGCTCTCTCTCTGAAATAAATAAATAGATCTTTAAGAAAATCAGAAAGATATTGCACCCCTGTTTATTGCAGCATTATTTACAATAGCCAAACTATGGAAGGAGCCCAAGTGTCCATCAATAGATGAACGGATAAAGAAGAGGTGGTATAGGGGCACTTGGGTGACTCAGTCGGTTAAGTGACTGACTTTTGGTTTTGGCTCAGGTCTCGATCTCAGGGTCGCGAGATCTAGCCCTGCATTGGGCTCCATGCTTAGCACAGAGTCTGCCTCAGATTCTCTCTCTCTCTCCCTCTGCCCTTCCCGCTCATGCTCTCTCTCGAATAAATAAATTTTTTTTTTAAATTGGAAAAAAAAAAGAAGAGGTTGTGCGTGCACACACATGCACACACACACTGGAATACTACTCAGCCATAAAAAGGAATGAAATCTTTCCATGTGCAACAATATGGATGGATCTAGAGAATATAATCCTAAGTGAAGTAAGTCAGAGAAAGGCAAATGCCATATGATTTCACTTTTATGTGGAATTTAAGAAACAAAGCAAATGAACAAAGAAAAGAGACCAAAAAACAGATCCGTAACTATAGAGAACAAACTGATGGTCACCAGAGGGGAGGTGGGGGATGGGCGAAACAGGTGAAGGGAATGAAGAGTACACTTGTCATGATGAGCACTGGGTAACGTATAGAATGGTTGAATTGCTATATTGTACACCTGAAGCTAATATAGTACTGTATATTCAGTATACTGGAATTATAATTTTTTTAAATAATAAAAAAAGAGGAGGACACTAGCATAACTGATAAATTTTCTTTGGATTAAAAAAAAAATTAGAGGGACACCTGGGTGGCTCAGTTGGTTAAGCATCTGACTCTTGATCTCAGCTCAGATCTTGATCTCAGGGTCATGAGTTCAAGCCCCGCCTTGAGGGGGTTTACTTAAAAAATGAACAAATAAAAAAAAAAATTTAGAAAGATATTACCATAGTCACCCTTAGAAAATGATATATCAATTTACAGTCCCACCAACAATGCATGAGAGCTCCCACTATACCCATGCCCAAATGGGTGCTATCCATCATTTTGAACTTGCTTATATGATAAATAAAAATGGTATTTACATTTTTTTAAAGCTGGTCACTAACAAACAAAATGTCCACCAGTGGGCAATGACTAAGTAGATAAGGAAAAAAATCATACTATGGAATATTATCTTATAGCTAAAAATTGTATCATGAGGACAGACCCACATATAGTGATTTGGAAAGAGATTCAAAATATATTATTCTACAAAAAAAAGACACCTTAATGCAAAATGAGTCATCACAATTCCTTTTTTAAAAAATTTGAGTATAGTTGACACACAATGTTACGTTAGTTTCAGATGTACAACATAATGATTTGACAAGTTTATACATTATGCTGTGTTCACAAGTGTAGTTAACCATCTGTCCCGATATACATCCCTATTATAATATCATTGACTGTATTCCTTATTCTGTGCCTTTTACTCCCATGATTTATTCATTTCATTGCCAGAAGCCTGTATCTCCCACTCCCCTTCACCCATTTGACTCACCCCCCCACCTCTTCCCCTCTGGCAGCCATCAGTTTGTGCTCTGTATTTATAGGTCTGATTCTATTTTTTGTTTGTTTATTCATTTTTTTTTTAAGATTCCACTTATGAGTGAAATCACGTATTTGTCTTTCTTGGTCTGACTTATTGCACTTAGCATAATACCCTCCAGGTCTACCTATGTTGTCTCAAATGGCACGATCTCGTCCTTTTTATGGCCACATAATATTCCTGTGTGTGTGTGTGTGTGTGTGTGTGTGTGTGTGACCATTGAGTATGATGTTAGCTGTGGGTTTTTCATATATGGCCTTTATTATGTTGAGGTATGTTCTCTCTAACCCACTTTCTTGACACAATTCCTTTTTTTAAAAAAATTATTTATTTATTTATTTTAGAGACAGAGAGCATGAG